CCCCCCCCCCCCTGAATTTCAGTTTTTTTTTATCCCCCTTTGCACGCGTGTTCTATGGAATCAAAGCTCGACTGCTTGTTGCAGAGGAGGAATCTTCATCGGACCCAGATCTTTCACGATCATCGTCTCCTTGCTCCGTCTGTTTCAGGTATCCAACTACGGGGTTTTCTTCGTCTCTGTCGGAATCTTCAAATTCTGTCGAACTCAGTGATTTCAACTCGAACCCCACTCGGATTCTTGTCAGAAAGTTCGCGTCTTTTCCTGTATAAAGTTCCGGGCTCTCGCTATTTTTCCCGGGAAAGCAAGGAAATTTCCGGGAAAAGAGAAGGGTTTTCTACTCTGCAAAAGAACTTTGATCAGTGATTTTCTTCACTTTGGTGTGCCAGGGATGATGCAGGCGTCAATGGTGGAGATTCTGAAGAATTTGGTACCAAACCATCGGTTAGGTTTTCAAGCCGTGAAGCTGAACGGAGAAAGAGAGAGAAGGTTTACAAAGATGTTCTGCAAAGCTACGATCTGTTACCTGAGAGAATCAGCAGCCTGAATGCCTCAAGACTCAAACTTTTGAGGTACGATCGATTTCAGATTCGAGATTATACAAATACGGTGAAACTATTTGGGTTTAAAGGAGATGATACGGCAATGATGCTTGTTCTGTGGATTTCATCATGACCCTCTTTCAGGAATAGTTCCAAGGGACAAAAAATTGTATTCTTTATAGGTTTGATTCATTTCTCTGTAGCTGCTTCTGTTCTGGAATCTGTTTCATCGGGAATTTTGTTCTGTTCGTTGTCTAGTTCTCGGTATAAGTTGGTTGCTTACTCTGTCTCTGGATTGCAGCGTTATGGCATAGTTTCCTTAGCTTGAAATGATGAGTTATGTGTTTGTAAACATAAAAAAAGGACATGGAAGAATTGATGTTATAATTGTTTATGTAACGCAAATGGTTAGCTATTCTCCTGGAGCATGGGGAGGAAGAAGAGCCAGTGAAGTCAAATTGAAGGAATATGATGTTCCGGAAACAACATCAATCATCTTAGTTGGCCTGAAAGGCTCCGGGAAAAGCAGCCTAATCAACAGGATCATAAGGGTGATCGAGGATGATCGGTTTGCACCCGATAGTGCCCAAATATCAAGTAAACTTTTTTCTCCAGTATACATATGTTTTCCGGAAAAAAAAAAAAAAACGGGATTTTTATAACAAGGAAGAAGTGAGTTCATGATCTTGGTTTAACTGATTTTGAGGGAAAAAAAACTGTCCTCAGTTTGTTTCTATGCTTGTAGATGGTTCTTCTTCTTCAGAAGGCACCTTCTTTCTTCAGGAATATGAAATCCCGAGAGCTTCTCCGACCTTTTCCCTATACGACACTCGAGGGTTATGCCAAAACTCCTCTGATAACATTAGCACGATCAAGCGATGGATTACGCAAGGTGTTCGTCATGGAAACCCTGTCATCTGGTTTGATCCTTCTTCCGAGAAAATCTTTTTTCAGTATTGTTTTTCTAGAAAAACACTGTTACTGTTTTTCTCATCACATGGCTCCTTTCTCCTCGGGTTTCACCCCCTTTTGTTAGGAAATCGGACTGTCCTGATGTAAAGAAGATGCTGAAACTTAAAACTCACGGGCTTAGCGGTATCGGTAGCAAGACCCGGAAGAAGATTAACTTCGTCATCTTCGTTGTGAATGCGGTGGATGTCTTGAAATCAATGGAGAGCTCTAGCCCGACACAGTCGAGCCATGCCCAGATGATCTCTACAGCTTTCAACTGTCCTTTCCTATCATTTAAAGGTAATTTCCGGTTTCTAAGCTTTCTAGTTTCAAAACTTTCACACTTTAGGCATAATATTTAGCATCCTTCCTTCTCTTACAGATGTTGTTGGTTTGCATCTGATGAGACGCGAATCTTGATATCGTTCCATATTTGTAAGAAAATCTGAAATTCTCCAACTGAAACTGTTTCTCAGATGACAAGCCAGCAGTAGTTATGACTCATGGAGACATACTTTCCCGGGAAGAACGAGCCCGAGCTCGGGTTTTCTTGGGAGATCTTCTCGGTATTCCAGCTGACAGGCAGATATTTGACATACCCGGTAACGATATCGAATGCATTTTATGGATTCTTGTTTCGGATATCGTTTTTTTGGAGATTGAAGATTGCAGATTCGATTACAGAGAGCCAGGATGCAGCCACAGAGCTAACCATATGTGATTTGCTTCGCCATTGCCTTGAACACGCGGATAAGAACCTCCTCCAGTTTCTTCCCTCAAAGAACTCCTTCAACTTTCAGGTTAGTTTCTTGTTTATCCCATCTCTTCATCTGAGTTTTTGTTTTTATCTTGTGAGATTTTAGGGTTTTTCCGGATAATGGGTTCTTACTTCTTCGTCAAGTAACGTAGAAACCGGTTCTCATATTGAACCGGTTTAGAGATTCATTTCATGGGGTTCGGTTCGGTATGCGAATCTTAAACCCTAAACCCAGTTATCATATAAATGGTTAAAAAATATCATATTAAAAGGCATGTTTAAATATGGTTAAAGATATAATAACATACTAATCATAAATTTCTTAATTTATACCATATTATGTCAAACGGGCTTGCCGGCCTGCCCGATGGTTTTGGGTTTGGGTTCGGACCGGCCTAAATTTTTTCGGATCTACAAAACGTGCCCGAAGCCTGACTCTATACGACTCGGGTTTGGTTTTTCAGATCGGGTCATTTCGGCCGACTGGATTAACGTTTTCTCTCTCTCTCTCTTTTATTGAGCTTTCAGGACGACCTAAAAACATGTTGGGTTTAACTCGACCAAACCTAAAACCCTATTGAAACCGGACTCGAAAGCTTAAATTTTTTCAAGCCTACAAATTCAACCCCGAACCCCGAACCCCGAACCCGATCATTTTTCGGATGGACTAGGGCCGAGTTTCGGATCTCGTATCAAAATTGATTCCCCTAATATTATTATATAAACTTTAATTTTAACAGTTAATAATATAATAGCATACCAATTATCCTAAACTTTGAAATATAATTATAAAATTTTAAATTTGTAATGGATTCATATTGTTAAAGCATGTGACTGTGACTAAATGAAAATATAATATGCAATCTGCATTATTCATAAATGGGATATTTTGCTAATAACTTGTGATAATAATAAAGTTCATGTATTAGATTTTTTTTCCCAACCAATGCAATATGGTTGAATTCCACCATCCAACCAACTTATCCCAATGAATCAATACGTCGATAATTTAAGTTGTGGTTATACTAACAAGTAGCAACCGCATTAGACTAATATCAACCGCCTTGTTATTTTTGTTTGGATTCGTTAGTTTTATATAAAAAAAAATTATTTAGGTTCGGTTTTTTATGTTGTATTAAAATCATGTTTATGTTAAATTTTGGTTTGGATCGTTTTATTGATAAAAATATTTATTTTTAACTTTTTTCTTTTTTCTTTTTTCATTTATTCTTATTTTATGTTGTAATTTAATTCAGTTCCATTATCTGTAACCGAATCAAAACAAAATCCATACTCGCAATGTATACATTTCGGTGCTAACATTTTTTCCCCTCTATGGTCACATGTTCTTATGGACAGGAGAATGGCGTCATACAATGGACCATATGCACAAGTTCCTTTATATTATTATTAGCCGTAGCTCTGGTGGTCATCGTGGCCTATTACCACGCGCCTAAGCCGCCGATGGGCGCGTGGCCTAAGCCCAACGTGCTAAAGGGTCACGCGCGTAAAGGCGATTGGGGGAAGATGCGACACTTGTGGTTCGATGACGACTAATGGAACTGGTTTCAAGTCGGATGCGCATTTCTCTCTACGTATAAATACAGTACCGCGTTGTATGCGAGTGATGGATTCTACGTATTTCATACGTCTTTCTATGTGTAATGTGATGTATGTAGCGAAATAATAATAATAATAATAAAAAAGACAATATTTGCATTACGTTGAAAAACGTATGCTCCGGCATTTCATGTGATCTATATTTAAGATATGGTTTTTGTTATGAATTTATGGCAAAACAAAAAAAAAAAGTCTAATAGAAACATCTATTGAACTCCATAAATATGAGATGACTGTCCTTTTGCTGTCGTGTTATGGCGAGCAATACCGTCTCTGGCTCGGGCCATGGCACCTGCCGCTTGGACCGCGGTGCCTTGCCTCTTCCCTCGGTTGTCGAGATGGTAGAAAACCCTTTCGATCGACTTCCCGATGATATTCTATCCGAAAAAATTGCCATCCGGGTTGCCACCAACGGTTACCAATCCTTCTGTGCATTTCGAGCCACTTGCCGTAGATTCCGAGCAGTCGGATCCACCGGTTCGATGTATCGAGATGTGGATTTGACTGTCCCGTTCTTCCGAAATCCGTTGAAATTCCTTCTCGAAGACGGTATCCACCACAAGTTCTTTCTTTATTGCCTCGCCCATGAAAACCCTTCGGCGCTCTATCTTCAGGGCGTGTACGAGGCCACGGTCCGAATCCGAGAAACCTCGATCGAGCTGTTGAGGCGAGCGGGCGATCTCGGGTACCGAGAGGCAAGGTTTCTTCAAGGGCTTGTGGTGATATGTTACGACCGGAACGTGGAAGGAGAGGCAATACTCGAGCTCCTCAAGTGGCGCGACGATTTTCGCGAAGCCTCGAGTCTTGCTTGTCGTGTACGTAGCCACGTCGCATGCGTTTCTCGCAATGGGAAAAACGCGTACGGGCGAACACTTCGTTATCCGTTCCCGCTCTGCGGTCACGCCTTTGGTGAAATTTGTTCGGAGTGCTTCCTTCATTTCGAAACACAGATCTTATCTTATTTCTCTGGTCATAACGACGACGATAAACAATAATTATAATTATATATATGTATGGAGCCATATATATATATATATGTGTATATATATACACACACACATAGACTCCTGCAATTTGTATTCAATGAAATTTATCATACATATGTGTGTATATATATTATGGAAGAGTGTTACACAGTTTGAGAATAAATTGTTATGTAATCTTTATAACGAAAGATGTTTGTAAATGGTGTGGAGTTGCAATCTTCTTCTTTAATTGTATAAAAATATCTATTAGAAAGTGGGATCTCATCCACGGGAAACAAAGATATGTTAAAAGAGGTTTGCAAATAATAATTTATAAAATTACCATATTTTTTTTCTTACAAGAAAGGCAGAACAAAACGTAAGACATTGGTCATTAACAAAAATGAGAAATTCAAATACGATAATTATTTTTCCAAAACTAGAGACCCGAAGTCAAAATTGAATAACAAGGTGTTACACGTGTCAGAATATCATTGGATAATTTAATAGACTGCCATATATGCCACGTCAACGATCGGATTTCCCTCGTCGCCGTGTCTACAAAACGTCTCCCTCTCTCTGCAACGCATCAAAAACGCTCCCATAGATACACACAGAAACAGAGACATAAACAGAGCAAGAGAGAGACATCTCTCTCTCCAGTTCCGTTGTTTCTCTCTCTAGAACACGGAGAAGAAGAAGAAGAAGTGCATAACAATGGGGAAGAGAAGAGGTATCCCCGCAGTGAACGTGCTTTTCGGGTGGCTGAGAAGGCAGTCGAAGAAGGTTAAGACAACTCTCGCGGTATTCCTGTCTCTGCTCCTCGTCGTGTCTTTGAGATTCACAGTGAAGAATCACAACCATTTCTTCGTGGCATCCGAAGCCATTCACGCCGCCGGGATTTTTGTTCTGATCTACAAACTCACCCGTCAAAAGACTTGCTCCGGTAACATCCTCGTTTTTTGGGGATTCTCTAGTGATTCTTCATATTTTTTTAGGGTTCATGTCTGAGATCGTGAATCGTGATGCGTTCAAAATTGTTGTTGATCATCATCATGCGTATGTTAGCTGTAGCTAGTTTCCACTCATCAATATGCTGATGATGGGTTTAAGATGGTGATTATGAGATTTAGGGTTCATCGTGAAGCTCGATTCAATGTCGTTTTCTCTGGGATTCCTCTCTATTGAATGAATTTCTATGCAAAACGGCACATATATTGGATTCAGTGCATGATGCCTGATGTTGTCCCCATGATTTTGAGTTTGAAATCTCTTACAAGCTCTTTGCTTTGGGATTGAACATATGTGATAGGTCTTTCTTTGAAGTCTCAAGAAATCACAGCAACATTCTTTGCTGTGAGATTGATCTGCAGCTTAACAATGGAAGGCGACATCCACACCATTCTCGATCTCGCCACGTTCATATCGACTCTATGGGTTATTTATATGATTCGGTACAAGCTGAGCTCTTCTTATGCCAAGGATCTTGACAATGTCCACATTCACTATCTGGTAAATTACTGCTTTTTGTCTCGTTGGAAAACTCGTACGAGATGGACAAAGATCATCGGATGGTTTTAAGCGAAATCTCGGGTTTTTCTTTTTATGTTTCTCAGGTTGTACCATCTGCCATCCTTGCCATGCTTATCAATCCTAACACTCATCATCATTACATCTTTCGAGTCATGTGGGCATTCTGCGTTTACTCTGAATCTGTCTCTGTTTTTCCTCAGCTTCGAATGATGCAAAATGCCAAGGTACGTACTGCACCACACCGAGGTCCGAAAAAATTGCCATATCGGAATTACCAGCCATTGTTTTAGCTCATCTTTGTATCTTCCGCTCATCTTTGATATATACTTGACCGCTTTATA